TACTCTACCTCTGTTTGTGTTACTTTGGATAGGTAGTGTGTTTCCAGGAATTTGTCCATTTCATCTAGGTTTTCATATTTATTGGAGTACAATTTTTCATAGTAATCAGTTATGATCTTTATCTTTCTCTGTTGAATTGGTTGTAATGTCACCAGTTTCATTTCTTAATTTGGTTATTTGCCTGTTTTGATTTTTTTCTTTTGTTAATCTAGCCCATGGTTTGTCTATTTTATTGATTCTTTCAAAAAGCAACTTCTGGTTTTGTTGATTCTTTCTGTTTCATTTATTTCTACCCTGATCTTTATTATTTCCTTTTTTCTGGTAGCTTTTGGCTTCTTTTGCTCTTCCTTTTCTATTTTTTCAAGTTATCGGTTTAAGTTTATTATTTTGGATCTTTCTTCTTTTTTAATGTAGGCATTTATTGCTATGAATTTCCCTCTGAGTACTGCTTTTGCTGTGTCCCAAAGGTTTTGATATATTATGTTTTCATTTTTGTTTGATTCTAGGAAATCCTTGATTTCTTTGTTTCCCTTAACCCTTCTCCCCACCTTCAAACCCAATATGCTGTCAACAAGTAATGTAGGTTCTTCTACCTCCAAAATATATCCTGTATCTCTCAACCACTACCACCCAAATCCAATACCTGACCACTGTAACAGCCCTCCACTTGGTCTCCCTGTTTTGAATCTTGCCCTTCAATCCACACAGCAACTAGTGATCTTTTAAAACCATAAATCAGATCATGTCATTCTCTTGCTTAAAACCCCCTAATGGCTTCCCCTTGCATTTTGAATAAAATCCAAACTTTCCATAAGACCCTAAAAGAGCTGATCCCAGCTTTCTCTCCAACATCCTCTTATACTATCCTCTCAACCCTTCACAATGTTCAGCCACTCTTCCCTTCTTCCTGTTTCTTGAGAACCATGCTTGAGTCTGCCTCAGGGCCTTTGTACTTACTATTCCATCTATGTGGAACATTCTTTCCACAGCTGTTTCCAGGGCTGGCTCATTTTAAGATCTCAGCTCAAAGTCACCTCCTCAGGGGCTTCTTATCTAAAGTAGTGGCTCCTTCCCCTCAGTCTGGATCCCATTTCCCATCTTATAGAGCTTCATAGCACTTATTTCTGTCTGAAGTTATCTTGTTCACTTGTTTACTTGTTTATTGCCTAGGTCCCACTGCTAGAATGTAAACCTCTTGAGGTCAGGGACTTCATCTTATTCTCTACTGTATTTCCAGCGTGAAAAACAGAGCCTAGCATACAGTAGGTGCTCAGTGACAAAAAGGCTAGAAAAATAAGTCTTC